ACAGAGCCTGAGCTTCCATCCTCTGCTGCCTGTGAAGGTGTTGTAGATATCCTCTGCAGTTTTCCTGCTCCAGGGACACCTAGGTGGTATCTAAGGAGATTCCGTGAAGACCAGCAATTTTGACTGCCATATATTTTTTTCTGAGTTGAATGGTATTTCGTACGTTTGCTGTGCGGAAGAAGGTAAAATGTTGTGATTTGATGGAAGTTGGAAAGTTGTGAGGTAGAAACGCTCCTATTTAAACAGAACTCAACTTTATTTGCCATCAAACCTGCATTTAGTGTGGCTGTATGTTGCTCTATGTAGAGGCTGTACAGAAGAGCAAAGCTGAGTAATGTCTCCCATGGATATAAATATCCAGTAGACTTTATTTCTTGTGCTTGCCTTTCAATGAGACGTACTGCCTACCCTTTATTTAGTAACACAGCTCCCTGTGTGACCTGTGACTGGCCAGATCCCTTCCTGACATTCCTTAGGAATCGTCATCCTCTGCTCCATCTGCTCATGGCAAAAGCCAGGTGCTTGCAACATGCTCAGGACTGAACTCCAGCTCTAGAGGTATCCGTTACTCTCTGGGGCCCAGAGAAGAGCTAGGATATGACCGATTTTCTTGTTTAGTCAGCTTGGTTTATTAACCTGAATATATGGTGAATGCTCTAGTAGTTAGTTTACATGGTCAAATGAGGGAGATGTTTTGAGAAATGTCTGTTGTCCTGACCATTGGAGAGTTATAAATTTTTCCCCCTAGTATTTAGGTCCTTGGAAGTACAGTGTCTACTACATTTGACATGAGGTACAATGCCGCTTTTACTGAAAAGCAGTTCAAGGTTTCAGAAGTACTGAGTGTTTGGTGTGGTTTAAGGATTTTGGTTTTACTTACTCCTGCTGTTTGTATCCCAGTTCAAAGAATGTGCTAGGTCTGGCTGGGGCAGCAGCTGTAGCATTGGTGTCAGTAGACCTCTGGGACTCCTGAGTTATAGCACTCTTCACACATTAGGAGGAATGCATTTGGTCCTGCCATGCCTAAATAATTCACAAAAGATGTAACAACTACAGTTCTTATTTAAGCAAAGTGAAAGTAGGACAAATAGTTTCAGAACTGGTATTGACTCTTCTGTTCCCTTCTTACTACAGTGACAGTAGAAGCATTTTTTCTCCTTTTCCTTTCTTTATTTCTAGGTTCTACATTCCCTAGAAGCAGTACACGTGTTTATATGCAAACAGGTTGTAAAAGCTTGGTGTGTGGAGACTTAAAAAGCATTCAGCATCCCCATGCACCCTAATCTTATCTGTAAGGTTAGACAGAACATGGGAGTTTCTGGTTAAAAATCTCCTATGGCACCTGTGTGTTGCATGTCCTGCACCCCGGGGTGTACCTGTGATCTGTTGAAATGTGCAACTTGCTGCTGTACTGTGTAAGGTCAGAGGGGGAATTAAGTATCTCCATATCTGAATTCACCAGTTTGTAAGGCATGCTCTTAAAACATTTAAGATGGTACCAATTTCAGTTAAAATTTAGCCAGGGATCAGGAGATGCTGTTACTTGTCTTTATACAACAGCACAGAGGCTGGAGTGCCTTCTTGAAGTTTTATCTTTTCGTTTTTCTTCTTGACCCATGAATCAGGTTTCTTAGTTGTGGATCAATCCAAGTTGAACAGGGCAAGAGTTGTCCCATTTTGCGTGTCTCACAGATGTGTCTCCTGAAATGTGGACCAAGTCCCAAGGCTGAAGAGAGCCTAGATTCCCCATGTTCTTGGACAGATACAGTTAACTGTGAGCTTAAAATGAGAAATGTGCTGCTGTTTGGAGAGAGAAAATGTGATAGAGCAGTCTGAGCTCCTATGTACAGTTGCTACCTTGATGCAGAGGAAATGATTTCAAATAATGTATTGTAACTCCATATGTGCAATCCATTGAGGCTTTGACACAAGCTCAGGTGAAGAGAAAACCTCAGATGTACCTTGCTTTGCACTGTTCCTTATGGATTGGCTCACATGCCCCAGCATTCAGCCTAACGATTCCTCTAAATCCCAGCTCTGCAGGTCTGTGTCTCCTACCTCAGTGTACAGAAGCATGCAGGTGTCCATCTCAGTGCTGTGATTCCAATCCTGAAGCACACTGCTACACATCAGTGTCTAGTTACCTTTCTTTAATGCATGTAAAATGCGTGAATACATATATGTATTTCCCCCCATTTTGTGTTGACCCTTTTTTGATAAATACTTTATTCCAGTAATCATTTACAAGTAGAAAAATTCGTCATTGCTTACACACTGATATAAATTTAATGCCTGTGTATGAGTAGTCTCCACTGTATCATACTTATGGTGTGTCTATTCTGTCACTGGATTCAGTACAAGCTTATCCGTCACAGGCATTTTTATGCTGGTTTGTGTGACAGAGACCAATGTCAGACAGGATTTTATATACAAACTGTCAGTATTCATATTTGTGATATAAGTTGGACTAGAAACATATGTTTCCAGATGTGGATCTTGCAAAGCACAAGCCTGCAAGAAATCTCAAATAAACTGCTAATGTTGCAAGCTGTAGAAATAAACTTTGTTCATTGCCATTCTTCATACTCAGGATCACACTACATTTCAGCAGAGCAAGATCTGTGTACCTCATTTCTTTGGACATTACTCACCACTTTGTAGTAAACTATCTTGCAGTTTTCACTGGCTACTGAGAAGTGAGCTAAGTCCTCTGATCTGTGGGTTCAAAGTGAAGGAATCAGTCATCCCTTTTGTCTTACCTAAACATTTAAAAAATGGAGAATGAAGAGAGCAGAGTCTGCAGATTTAGAGACTGCTTCGACCTTGCAAATCATCATCAACATCTATTTTCATCATCTGTATATATGAATGACTTTCAGTACATACTATGGAGGACATCTAGAATGAATGAAGAGGATGCTCCCAAGGAAATCAGCTGCATAGAACTCACATAGCGGCGTTTGCTCGAATTGAGTGGATAGGGTGGAGGGGCTGCAGGGCTGAACTGGTTTTGCCATTCTGCTTGTTTGAGGAGCTGACTTCTGAAGAGGACTAACTGAGCTTATGATGTATTATCTCAGTGAAAGCTACAGCATCTTTTTTTTTGAGATTCAGGTGGATGTTCTTGCCTCTGAGTGGGAGGGCTTCTCTGTTTTGGGAAACTTCTGAAACTGGCCTATGGACTATGGCACCATGGACTATGGTGACCCTAAACCATGGGCTCTTTTAGAGCCTGTCTTAATTCTCTCCTTTGTGGAACATGTTTGGAGTAAGTCTGGATGGCAGTTGCTCCTTTGTACCTGATATAACTGATGCCTTTGCAGACACAAGTGTACATCAGCTGAAAGTGATTGTTTTAAATACAACTTGCTCAGGCAGTGTGAAGGTGGTTGTCCTTCCTGAGGAGTGCGGGTGGGTGGGGGTGTTCTCTTTAATCCAGTTGGGTTTACTTTGTCTCTCTGATATTCTAGGTGGATATTACATACCAGTGAGAGATGGGGAGGGTGATTCTGTGGGGCCATTGGCCAAACTCAGGGCGAGCAACCTTAGAAAGCTTACAGAAATTAGCCTCTTAGCTCCTGAGACTCAGTGGAGAAAACTGAGCCACACACATCCATTTCTGAGGAGGACAGAATTTAAAATGCCATGTTACTGTCAGATTGTGTAGCATAGGGACCTCTGACAGACATTTGCTCTCACTGGCGTGTAGGAGTCTTACCTCTTAAATGAGGGGCAGTTTGAAAATGCAGATCACGTTTTCTCCATTTAGTCTTACCAAGAGCTCTTGGTCACTGAACTTGTCAGATGCATCTCACTGAAAAAGAAATCTTTGTCTTGCAGTTAGGTGATTCTTTGCCTCCTGTCTGTCCTTGTCTGCCACAGAAGAAAAAGTACTGCCAGGTACATTTTTCCAGAGTTGCACTGAATTTCAGGTTAAGGCGTGCTTTTCTGCCCAAATTTTTCTATCCCAAATAGAAAATAAATCCTTAAACAGAAATTATAGAGCTTGTAGCTTTCCTGGACTACGGTTTGAATTTTATAATGTGTGAAAGTTTAAACTTGGTAAAACTGCTTGCTTAGAGTATTTAAAACAAAAAAGTTTTCACATGGTTGAATTAACAAAGTGCTCATTATCTAGTGCTGTCAACTGTTTCCAACAAGGAGCTGGACAAAATCATAAGTACAATTTGCTGACCATTTGTAGATATCTGCGTTGGTCATCTGTCTGAGTACTTGAATGCTCATTCTCCTCCACAAAGTGCTTGTCAGGAGCCCATCTTCTCAAAACCATACTGAGATACCGGGTCCTTGTGTTGGGCAGTGAGATACCAGCAACTGGAGAAGCTTGGAGATACAGAACCTGATTTTTGTTCTTAGACAATGTCATAATACAGAGTGGTAATTAACCTTGGGTTGTCAGCTATGTACCTCTTAAAAAGAAAGGATGTTGTTGTTCAAGCCATGCAAATTTGTTCACTAACCAATGTGATAAGATGAATGACAAGCCCATCTGGGAGTGACCACCAGTCCTAGATCGGTGGATCCAGGATGGACTATAGATTTTTAAAAATAAATTTTTTTTTTAGTAAGTTCTGTTTTAAGATCACAAGAAAAACAGTGCAGTGATGGCCCATGTGCCTTAGTGACATACCGTTGCCTCAGTATGTAGATATCTGGTTAGTAAATTAAATGCAATGATTCATGTTTTTGATTATAGTAATATTACATTTGGAAATAGAAATTGACATTGCTGTAAGAAGACGGGTTGCTTACGATTTAATGTGTTAAAATACTGTTTGAATCATCAGATACCTACATTGTTCCCAATGAGAGGAGATTATTTAGGGGGAAACTAGAAGAAAAATACATAGCTAACTAGTTTTGTATGCTAACCACTCCGTAGGTAGCATGACTAGTTGAGAATTGTGTTATATGTTGTTGTGTCATGTGATAACAGTACCATGTTTTCCTGTCATTTTCACAACTTTTCCTGGCTGAAGTGATATACAAGCAACACTGGGTAGTAATCACATTGTCCCGTTCAGTTTCAAAAGGAGAGAAGCGGACCTCATCCAGAAACTTTCCAGCAGGCTACAGTAAGCTTAACTGTCTGTTAGCCATTGTCAAATATTTTTCATACCTGCAAAAATGGCATCTTTAAAGTAATGGGAAATGTCTCAGGAATAGTGTCATTCCATGAATAATATTTGTGTAATGCTAATTAATGATATTGCATCTCAGTATCACTTTACAAACTACTTAAGAAATATATTCAGATTCCTTTGATTCTTACTGATGTGCTCATGTCTCTGTTTCCTGTTCTTTCATGGATAGCTGAGCATGGCTCAGGAAATGTAATGTTTCAGAAAAAGAGTCAGCATTCTCAGAAGGATTGTTTAAATTAATTAGCTCATTTTTTTTCAGTGTTATTCTGAAATTCTTGAAGCCAGTTTAAGCTTTGAATACCCAGCCGCATTGCATTCAGCAAATGTGTGGCAGTCTGGCTCATCTCCAAGTCAGAATGAGTTTGAGATTAATGTACTCAGTTAAATTCAGTACAGGTTTCACCATAATGAATTGAGAGGTTTCCTCTGTGTCAAGGGCAAGGTTAATCAAAACCTGTTGTAACTCAGTAGTTTACCAGAGGAGCTTAATACAAAATATTGACATTTTAAAAGTCTCAGCCAAACCCCATTTAAGTTAGTGAGAATTGTAGCAGGCTTGAATGTGTGCTAGACTCAAGGACTGTGAAAGAGGCTGCGGACACTTCCATGCTTTTGTTAATACCTCTCTCTCTTTTTTTTTTTTTTTTTTTTTTTTTTAAAGTTCTAGAGGAGCAGAGAAAGCCAGAGCAACATTAGGGGCAACTTGTTCATAAAGAAAATAATGAAAGTGAGCAAGTGTGCTTTTGGTTTTAAACTGAGTAGGTATGAGATGCAGAACTAAATCATTTCCTTCCTTTGATAAGTTTTCTGCATCTCTTCTTTATGCATAAGAATCTGTTCTTAAAGATAACTGATGAACTGAGCTTCAGGATAGTTTGCATGGGTGAGGCCAGAACCAGTTTAGTTCTGCCCCACTTGAAAGGACCTCCATTGCCTGTCAGCTTTTCTAAGCTTTTCTTCTGGAGATTTCTCCATGGTATTTAAAATTGGGTTGCTATTTTATAAGCATTTGCTTGCAGGGGATGAAAACTGTTTTATGAATGACACAGACAGTTAGACAGAAGGTATACGATCTCTCTGGGCTATCTGAAAGACTTGGTAGAAATGTGTTAGCCAAAGTCATAAGCCTCGTTTTCACTCTGAAGTTATGAACAATGCATTGTATTATTAAAACTCTGCAGTTTGCATGGAAACTTATGCTGATTGACCATGTTGACCACAAAACAATTGCTGAAATCTCATCATGTCAAGCAGCTTTTTACCAAACTTATGGAGAATTAGAATATATTCTTATTAACCGTAGTGTAAATAGGAGTTTTAATGAGATACTCCTTTCAAAAGATCTGGCCTTACGCAGACTTTTGAAACACAGTTGGACTGTCTAGATCTCTTTGACTCTGCAGCTTTGTTTTATTCATATCAACTCTAATGTTGAATCCCTCAACTTTTTGAGCTTTTTTGCTCTGAATCCTGCAGAACTCTTAGCTAAATAATAAATAATAAATAACTAGTAAAGGAGATGGTTACCCATAGCATCTTTCTGGCCTTGCTTCATGTCTGATAATTTTCAGTTTTGCCTAAAAAATCAACCAACTTTTCTCTGCTTCTCACCAAAGTCCTTCTTTTTAATGCCAAAGAAATGCTTGTTTTAAAAAATTTTGGCATCCCTGCAATGAGGTGCTCGGGGAACTAACAGTCTGTCCAAAAGCTTCCAAATGTTTTCATGGTTCTTCCCAGGAGGTTTCTTGGGCCTCTCTCTGGGGCAGACCTTCCCGCGTGGATCCAGTTCACCAAGCCTGCAATGAACAAACCCATGTCCCAAGTTTGTGTAACACCATCCTTGGCCCAGTTGCAGTGCCTGGCGCCAGCAGTCTGCGTGCCTCCTGCCAAGCTGGACCCACAAATGGGTTTATTTTTGACAAAGGGGAACTGTTTGGAAGAGTTGTTGTCTTCCTTAGTGTTCCTAATCCCTGGAATAACTGCTGTGACAAGCACAGTAACCATCTGCAGTAAGACCAATACCTTGGTGCCTTTCAAATGCAGTAATCACAATGACCTCCAGAGCCTAGGATCACTCTTTATTTTTTACGTTTAAAACTTTTCAGAGGCAAGACAAAGAATTTGAAGCTCAATTCCTGGACAAGTCAACAGCACCGCTAGTCCCCTAGGTGCACTTGAAAATCCTACTTGTAACTCTTTGAGGATTATGTGAATCTAGTCTTCTTGTCAAGATTTTTAATGCATGGTTCAAAAAATAAAGTCACACTAGTCCATTTTAGGCATTTTGATCGTTTGCAGTATTTATGTCCAGTTTTGTCCAACATTCCTAGCCTTAGAAAGATTCAGATTGCACAGTTTAAAAAATGAAATGCTAAAAGGAGACCTATGTCTGCTCAGTGCTGTGCAAACAGAGGAGTGCTAAATGCAGTGACTGAAACTGACTGCAGCCTGATCTGTTGCAGAAACAGGAACTGGCCATTAACTGGTTTTCACCTTCACTAGACACTGTTCTATATGGTTACCTCTCTGATATTTAAAGCAAGCTCAGGATTTAGGCAGGTGCTTTTTAGTACTTTGGGAGCTTGTCTGCCTTGTGGATTTATCTACATATGTATCTACAGTAGTGCAAATCCAGTGACAGATGTACTGCATTGGTGACTTATTTATTCTTTATTCTATTTTACATCAGACAATTCCTCTTTTATGTCAGTGCAGAGTCTATGTACTAGATTTGCATTTTGAGCTGCTTTCCTGGCATGGATATATATATATATATATATATAAAACTATTTGGGGGGAATTTACTGTGAAAATTTCCTAACATAAACAACCATCATCTTCTAATGCTGAAAGTAATCATTACATTCCAGTTATTGACTGTTAAGTTAGGCCATGCTGCTTAAAGGAAAACTGCATTGTTTACATTTGACAAATTCCCTAAATGAGCAAAATCTAAATTAAAATGTCTGATGTCTGTCAAGCTTGTCATTTGGTTATTTGATCATTTCTCTGGGTATTTGGAAGGGAAAAAAAAAGGCAGGAAGTCTGATTGCTGTACAAAGCTGATGGCATCATAAATACATAATGGAAATTAAGCCAAGCTAAAATGTATGAGATTTTTTGAGTGGACTGTGCTAATACATCTCATTTTAAACCCCTGGGTTCCTGGGAGCTACATTACTTTGCACCAGAATACAGCTGCAGAGGGCACTCAATGAAACCTTAAGGGGAGGGGCGTTATTTCCTAGCTCCTGTCTTCTTCCCTGCTGCCTGAAACAGCCATCCCACAGCTGTGGGAACAATGACATAGATCTGCTTTCACACTACAGCTGGGGAGAAACAGGCTTCTTGTGTAATGAGAAATCAAATTTGAATTCTTTTCTGATGTAGAGTAAGAAAAGCAAAGTTTTCTGGGCAGTAAAACAGACAAAGGGAAGATTGGAGACAGGTTTGATTGCTTTCTTTGAATAAACCATGTCAACATTTAAAGATTTTTAGCTTTATGAGAACTTAAATAGGAAGTACTGTTTCAAGTGATAGGAAAGGGTTTGCTCAGAAAATCCAGTCTCACATTTCTCCCTCCTGGAAGCACCTCTTTGCCTTTCTTTTTCCCTGCCATTTAGAGCAGGGTTTATCTCTTGTTAAATGGTCTTGCTTCTTCCTGCCCTCCAGTTGGAAGGAGGTAGGCAGGAAATGCAATGCTCGTTTGCCGGTCCCTCCTCAGCATGTTGCTCATCACCTACATTCTTCCATCAAAACTAGAATTACTTTTATGGTACTGACAAAGTGGTATGGTTGAGCAGTTAGATGGTGACTGATTCATGCAGCTTCCAGTGTAAGCTGCCTGCAAGATAGGTGGCAAGTCTGGAGGTCGCGTTTCTTTCCTTTTCCTTTTTTTCTTTTCTTTTTTTTTCCCTTCTTTTCATTGTTTTACATTTTTTTTCTTTTTTTATTTTGTTTTTTTTTTACTTTACTGCCTGATTTTCATTCCTTGCTCTTTAGTAAATAGATTTAATGGAGAACCCCACTAAATGCACTATTTTAATTTGAGGAATCAAATGCACAGAAAATCAAAGAACTTAAATAGCACTAATGAAGGGGTGCCACCTCTACGGGCTGTTGTGTTCGTCACATCTGTGGTGTGCTGTAGCACTATCAGTAGGTTCCTCAGATTTATTCTTGAGGGCAGTGAAGCTGGAGGGACGCTTTGGAGAATAGCAGATTGAAAATCTCAAGCTACTCACTTTAGAGATGGGTAATGAGCAGGGAGGGACTGCATAAAATTGGTGAGAGGAGCTATTCAGTAACAATGTTTATTGAATGGGTCAAAGGTTCAGGAAGTGCAGCTGCTCAAAACCGGGAAAGTGCTAAACCAAAGTATCCCAGGCAAGCCAGAGTGCAGCAGATGAAGCCATTTGAACCTTAGTTGCTCCAGTAAATTGACCGTTGGACCTGACCTCATTGCCCTCACAAAACCCAGGTTCCAAATAAAATGTGGTGGAGGCTGGGTCCACCATCACATCCAACTGGGTAGTGTTTGCAGCTGCTGATTGACAAATGCTCTGTTGTATTTACCAGCTTGGAATCAGCTGTGGCGTGTTTATTCCTCTGGCTGATAAACTTGATGAGCATGATGTGTTTGGTCAAATACCTCGTGTATGTTCTCATATGATTGGACCCTGGACAAACATGTGGTCGCTTGATCAAATACTCAGGTGAAGTGATCAGAGTCCAAGGGATGAGTTTGACAGAATCTCTCTCGTTCACAAGGTGGTCAAAAATACCTGCTGGCTTTAAAATCTGTGTGGGATTGGTGTGCTCTGCAGTGGGAACTGTCTTTAGTACTGTTAATGCTACTTTAAAAGTAGGAAGTTCAGGCTTTTGGCATACTTCATGACCAAAGATGTGTGATTCATCTAATTAATTAATAAAAAATGAATTTTTGCATGGCATTTTAGCGTGAAAAGTGTTGAAAATACTTGTGCATTTCCTACTAATTCAGTAATGCATTGCTGCATTTGAATGAGTAATTGGAGGCATCTTAAAACAACTGTTGAACTATCTTACAAAATTTGGGCATTGTTCTGTATTTCTTATGTGGACAAATCCTGGTGGCTTCAGTAGAAATGATTCTTGCCAGAGAACAGTAATCTAGGCATTTGGTAAAGATGCACTTGAACAGGCACTTTTTGTTTTTGTATGTCACAAACGGCTTGTATTGTTTTTTTTATAAGTTTAAATTATTGGATTTTTATTTGTTTTTGTTTGTTTGTTCTAAATAAATTAAACAACTACCTAAAATGTTTTTAAAATTAATTGCAGTTTTCCATTACGAGCGAGCTCTCTTTCTAAAGTCCCCTTGATACAAACATAAGATCTTGCCCATGTTGAATAGCAACGTGATTAAAAGCGAGGCAGTTGCTGCAGAGCGTAATGGTGTAGAGCAACAAAAGCTTTGGGAAAGTGGGGCTGGGGAGTGCTCTTCAGACTCTTGGTTTTGCATGTTATGAGATCCTGCTTTAAGCTTAATGTATTTTGTGCAAAGCAGAAAGAACTGTGTTAATGACTGATTAGAATGACTCTAATACATGAGACACACTGAATTTCATTCCACAGCTGGAGAAACTTAACATTAATTGAAGCTGTGGGCAACAATATGTCATTTTTGATTTAAGATTTTCCCTCACCCCTGCACCCCCCACCCCAACCAAAATCCCTCATGGAGTCAGATTGTTGCTGTAGCTTTTGTGAACCCCTCTCTTCTAATGTTTAATCAAGTGCTGAAAAGAGAAATTTACAGACTATTTAAAATGTGGAAAAATTGCTTCCCAATATTTTTGACAGAGAGAGACTGAGAACACACAGCATTGAATCATCAGGAAAATTGAAGATTTCCCCTGAACAGCATTGGGATTTTACAGCAGAGGACTTGAAAGACCTTGGAGAAATTGGACGAGGCGCTTATGGTTCTGTCAACAAAATGGTCCACAAACCAAGTGGGCAAATTATGGCAGTTAAAGTAGGTGATGCCCATACTTACGTTTATACTTCAGTCCATTAGGGATGAAATGTGATGGAGAATTAACGTTCTTCCATCTAGCACCCATCTACTGCTCTTTTCTATTTATTTCCAATATAAAGGCTGCTTTTTGCTGAAAATGCATTGTATAATGGGCATATTGTCAAGTGATTTGTGAAGCTCTCATAATTGCTTGTGCCCTTTTGAAGATGCCTATCAGGAACTTACTGTTTTGAGGGGATCACGTGTCTCTGGAGACTGATAATGGGGCATGGGTCTTTCACCTCTGGGTCACTGGTTCAGATACAGACTAGGTTGGTAGTAGGCACAAGCTGACATTCCAGTAGCTTTTTGGTGTCTTTTGTGAAATAAGGTAGTGACTTTAAATTTGCTTTTTTATAAGCATGTGCCCATGATGTAATAATTAACATCCTCATCAGGAGGGACTGAAATGAGAATCTTCTAGGGAGTGTTTTGCTCTTGCTGTTATGTGATGGAGTATATTTGCTTTGTTCTTACCATGCTGGATCTACTGTGGAGATGGGAAGTGTACTGTTTTTCAGGACTATCCATTTTCTACCTTATGCTACCCAAAAACTCACCATGAAAGCATGAACATTATATAACTTCATTTCCTAGCTGGGCAATATGGAGTAATCTTTGTCTTGCAGTAGCAGTGCTTCTCACTAGGCATTTTTGAGGAGCTGCTTGTCCATTGAGCTGGGTTTGATGGACAGCATCCATTTTCTCTCTTTCACGTCCTTTACTTTGCAGCTTCTAAGTGGTAGCTCATGACATCAATCTTTTAACTCTGGTGATGATATCAACTGGAAGTGCTCCCATGAAAGAGTAGAAGAGAGCTTTGAGCTATGTAGAAGTTGGTGTCACTCTCTTTTTTCATCTCTCTGTCATCTTTGGAATATTCTCTGATCTAATCTGGAAATGTTCACTCCTGCTGGTCTCACGTGGCAGGTAGACATGTCGCAGTCCCAGCTCTAGCTACTACGGTTATAACTTATACTTGTCTGAAGCGTGCAGGCTACTGGAGTAACTTTTGATGTTCTCCAGTAAATGTCAACTTCCTCATCGTAGTAGGATCATTGGCCAGGTCTCACAGCTTTTTGGATCACAGTGCAGTAAAGTTTCAATGTTTTTTTGTTTTGTTTTGTTTTTTTTGAATCCCTAGAAGTTTCCAATGGAGCTAGAGGTTGCCTGTCACTAAGGATCTGTTTCTCCTAATTGCCTTTGGTGGAGCTTCTAGATGGAGTTTGTAGATGATGGGTTGAAAACCACTGAAGTGGTGAAATGATGCCTGGGCACCTGTAGCCTCAAGCCCAGAGTGTGTGACCTGGGCAACAGGTTTTACTATTATAATCATGATGGCTTTGGGTTATAAAAACCTACCTAAAGCTGAGTGGGGTTGTTTTCAAAAGCTCTGCAGTGGGTATAGTTGTGTTGAGTAGAATGCTTTGCTGGGCTAGCTAATGTTACTGAGAAGGAGATGTGTCTACTGGCATAGATATTCTTCTGTCACAGATAGTGTTTGCAAAGGGACTTTAAAGATGGTAGAAAAGTACTGTCAGTGTGGAGGGTCTGCAGTGCAGGTACAGCTCCCACCTGGGAGGTGGGAAGCTGCAGTGCTGTGTTCTTGAAGCACACAGCTGGAGAAGACATTGGACAACCTGTTGAGTGAAGAGAGGTGGGCTGAACCCCAGTGGGGTGCTGGGCTTGGGGGCTCACTTTTAAACAAATCAAACCTCATACTTCTACATTGTCTGAATGCTGAAATGTCAGGGTTGTGGGCTGGGATGATGCCACCTTCTTTTCTCTGAACACACCCCTTGGGTGCCTGCGGCACCTTTTTCTCCGTGGAGAGGAAAGAAGGGCTGGAGGGTCTGGGCAGCTGTATCTACTTCTAAAATGTTAGTAACAAGGGGCCTAGTGGGGATTAAACACAAAACTGAGCAAAGGAAAGCCCATGGGTGGAACAGTGTGTGAGGTCTCCAGGGCAGGAACAGCTATTCCAAAGCTTGGATGGTGCAGTTGTAATGAGGTTTTCAGGACAGCTGATTCTGAAAGAGTTACTAGCTGATCAAAGTGCTCATGTACTCAAAGTACTCCAAGCCTTTTCTTTCTCAGATGGCTGTTGCTTTTGGGGCAGTCTGGGTTGTGCATTAACCTGCTCTGTCTTAATCTGCCTTATGGGCCATCTGTGTCTGGGGCTGTTCATCTTCTGCTCTCTGTTTCCCTCAAGCCTATGGTGTCCTGATGGCTTATGGAGCTGTTGCCATCTGAAGACCCAGCTCCTCACATGCATTCATATAAACTAACTTCTCCCTATGGTGTTTCTTTACCCTACAGGCAAACACTTGTTTTATTCTCTTTCAGCTCAAAATACTTCTGTAAGAGAAAAAGGTTTAGAAATTACCTATTTTTTTCCGGGACTTTCAAGGTTGTTTGAGAACAAAACATGTCAGTCTAGTGATTTGAAGTCCTAGCTGTGATCTAAAGGACACCTGCTTGCAACTTGGTGGTGTGGCACAGTGCTGTGTGCATGGCATCAATGACACTAAATTTCAAAGCCAGTGTCTCTGGGTACTTGGTGGTGCTGCTGTGCCTCTCCTGTGCATCCCCAAGAGCTGATTACAGTAACAGCAGTGCAGCAGGCAGATCATCCTTGGAATGGTATTCAGCAAGAGGAAACAGGTTTTCAGAGGCTGCAAGCCAAAAGCTTTTGGCTGTTCCGTACTGATGAGTGAAGCACAGAGATGGCTCTAGAAGCTGCTAGTTAGATGCAGAGAAAATTGCTGTGTGGGCCTCTTCCAGCTGCACCTTCATTCTCCTCCATCACTACCCATGGCAGATTTCTGGAGCAATCAGGTATCTTCCCACCCCACTTCTTTCTAGAGGGCCACGTCCTGTTTGCACTTACCATCTTCAGACTGTGGCTTGTCAGCCCCTTCTTCTGCACACAGTTTCAAATCCTGCTTGTTGGACAAGTGTGCTGCAGTTATATAGTAAAGAACAGATAAAGATTAATTCCTTTCCTCCATGCTGGAGTTTTCAGCTCCAGCTGCACCCAAAGCCTGGCAGCTTTGGGCACTCACCCTGCTCACCTCTGAGGCTTGAGCAAATGCGGCTGCTGTAGCAGACCCTCAAATCCTGTTTCCAGCTCCTTCCTCTGTCTTTTTCTAGCTTATCATGCCATTTCCTTGGTGCTTTGCATCTTTGGTTCCTTGAAGTGTGGTTTAGTTTAGCCTTCTGCTTTCACTCTGCTTGGTGTCCTTTGTTTTCCCTGAACTGTCCAAGCAAAGCCCTTTTGCTGCCCCTCTTGTTGAATAACTTGAGATCTGCAGATGGAGGCACAATTCTGTTTCATTTTCCTCTTCTATGCAGTTTGGCCTGATCAGTCAACATATGGATCTTGGCAGATGTAATCCTGGCACCTCTAATGAGGGTGTCTAGTTGCTGCCAGGCCCCTGGCTGAATCAGAAAGCTTTCATCTGGTACTCCAGCATCAGTGGCGGAGGAGGAGAATGTGCCGCTTCATGTCGCTGGTGTAAAACCACTTCAGCAGAGCTTTAGGCTGATGGAGCATTACTCAGAGAGAAGCTTTGATGATGAATTTTTGTGCCCAGTCCTGCTCCTCCCTCTTCTTCAGCTTTTGTCACTCTGTGCCTCCAGAAATACATACTTAAATAACAGAAAGCCATGGCATGTATCTGCAGGGGTGGGCTGAAGGCTGGAGCAGCAGGACATGGCTAGAGGAGCAGGCAGCTCACACCTGTCAGGCTGCTGGCTGCAGAAGTCTGGGGGATGTGATCTTGTATGGAAACAGATAGTTGTGGTCTTTGGTGTGATGTTTTTGGATTGCTTACCTTTTATCTCATAGACAGCCTCTTTCTAGGGCCATCAGGAAGAATGGGGGTGATAAAGAAAAGAGGAATGCAACCCTGATGATTTGTATCCAACCTTTTTAATTTTTCTCCATGAAAAGTGTTTTATTATGTTTGCAAGATCATAATAAGAATCATCTTGTTCATTAAGTCCGTTTTTTCTTACAGGTCTTCCTAGAGATTCAAAGTTCCTGTTTGCTCTGGGTCAGCTGGCATTGTGATCTTCCTCTCACTTAAAAAACAAACAAAAAACACAACCAACAACAACAAACAAAACCACTATTCATTTTCTTGAGCATTTATTGACATATGAGTTCATGACTCTTCCAAGTGTGATAGAAGACAGCCCTGTTCTGTCCACTGCCAGCTCTGTGCACATTTATCATTGCAAGGCCAGTTTTTACATTAACTCCTCGCTTCTTGGCAGGTTTCTCTTCTGGACTCTGTTTTCCTTGAAAGCAGTGTCTGCCCTGGCATGCATTTACCTGCGTGCTACAGTTCTCTCTAGTGCAGCTTCCAGTTCCACCTAATTTCTTTTGACTTTATTTCTGGTTTCTCAATTAGTCTTCAGTCTGTTTTTGTTCAGTCTGTAGCAATTCGTAAGTGTCTCGTGAATAATCTCCGAAGCTTGTCTGCTCTGCAGAGAGCCCTGGTCCCTTCTCAGGATCTGTTGCACTGCTGTCACTCCTGATCTTATCCCAGAGGCTTCACATGTGTTGTTCTCCAGTCCCCTTTTGTGTGTGCCCTCCAGTATCACCATATGTTGTTGTGGCTGCTCCAGGGAGGGTTAACGCATCTTGTGTGGTATCCTCATGAAACATTTGAAGAACCAGACTGTCTAGCAGATCAGAGGATCTTCAGAAAACTTCCATTTTATTCAGGTGAATTGTTTTTCTTGGGAAGCTCACCAAGCAGCTGAGGGTTGTCCTTCTGTCCTGAATTTTCCCTTTAGGATGTTCATTCACACAAAAAGGGTCTTCAAAAAATCCTTGGCATGCTTGGTTTTCCAGACTGATAAAAAATACATAAATGAAAAATCCCCCAATCTGAATGAATGTTAGGAAGTATTCTCCCTGTTGGAGCAGCATCCTCTGCTTACTACGT